AGGCTCATTGCAAGGTATACTGCTTTCTGCTCATCTGTCCATCCATTCATTTCTGCCAATAGCTCAATTTGTGCTCTATATGCTTCTCACAGTGCCTTCCCATCGAATTTCCGTGGCTTCCTTCGTACTAGATCACTCCTATTGCTGACACTTATGTCTGGAATGTGACTTCTGACAGGATTGAAGATGTCTGCATTAGGGTTTAGCTGCGGGGTCTGGAAGGGACTTCCCGTTGTCTGAGGCTGATTAGGTCGATGGCTAATATATCCTCCTTGTGTAAAAGACACTAAATCATCCTTTAATGTATTTAATTCACTTTGAAATTTGCTAATGTTTTCAATTTGTACTTCTTGTCACTGTTGTTGACTTTCCTGTAGTTGCTGCTGACCTTCCTGTAGTTGCTGCTGACTTTCCTGCAACTGTTGGAGACTTTCTTTCTGTTTCCTTTCTTGTTCCAGTTGCCACTACTGTAATCTCTCTTCTTGTTTATTTTTTTCTCCTCCAACCACTGCTGTAGTCTCTCTTCTTGTTTATTTTCTTTCTCCTCCAACCACTGCTGTAATCTCTGTTGATGTTTATTTTCTCGTTCTTCTTGTTTCTTTTGCTGTTCTTGTATTGCCGCCTTCAAATCTGCTAAGTTGTAGTTTGATTTGCCACTTCTCGTTTCCATCTTCTTTTTTCTTTTCCGTCCCACTCTCTCACACTAAATTGTTACGTCGTTTGTTAATTTCGCGTAAAAATTCTTCTCGAGGAACTTCAGCGATACAAGTCCTTTCTTAAATAAAACGAGTGTATTCTTCTTCAATACAACTTTGCAATACACAGAATTTCCACAGTCACTTTAATTTAAATACACGCTATAATTCACAACGATTCACGCACTTTACTTACGGCTTGACTCAATTATCTGCCTCTATTTCTCTCCATCTGCAATTATTTGCCGGGCTTATATACTAAAATAGAGGGCGCCTAGAAAAGACTAGAGTTGCCACGAACAGTCATGATCCTTCTAGAATTTCATGACGTGTTACTAGCGTCACGTGGCTTCCGCTGTCCTAACAATATAGATAAGTACATATGTAGTTTTGCGGTCACATTACAAGCACAGAAAGAGTTCCCACTGATCAGGTGAAGGTTATAATCTTTTGTTGTTACTTTTGGATTTTATAGTGCAAAGCCACATAGGTTTTCTGTGCCAAATAATATTTTTAAATAGTAATATATTTAAAAAAGTAAGTAACAAAATAATCAAAAAGTATAAATGAAGGTTAGAAGTAATAAGACCTATGGCCCATAGAGCTAAAACATGGTCAAGCATTAATCATCCTCTCAAAATCTCTACCTTTACTCTCTAAATGTAAAGTATTGTTATGACAGTGGAAGTCACGTGACTCTGGTAACACGTCATGAGTTTCTGGAAGAATAATGACTTTTCCTGGCAACTCTACTCTTTTCCAGGCGCTCTCTATTTTAGTATATAAGCCCGGCAAATAATTGCAGATAGAGAGAAATAGAGACAGATAATTGAGTCAAGGGAGCGGTAGTGACCGTAAGTAAAATACGTGAATCGTTGTGAATTATAGCGTGTGTTTAAGATAAAGTGACTGTGGAAATTCTGGGTTTTGCAAAGTTATATTGAGAAAGAATAAACTAGTTTTATTTAAGAAAGGACTTGTATCGCTGGAGTTCCTCGGGAAGAATTTATACCGGAAACTAACAAACGACCAGAGACGCAACAGTATTTTAAGTCGGAAGAATTTGAAGTAACATCTGATATAGAGCAAGAGATCTAACCAATACGTACTTATTACAGTCAATACGTACTTATTACAGTAAGACAATTATATGTGAGGTCACTTGCTCATCCCATAATTAAAAACAAAGAGGACTCAGTTTCCAGGTATTTCCACACTTATACCTGACCAATGTTGCTAGAGAACATCCTAATGCAACACTAGAGAATTATCTTGTGACAACTTTTATAGGAAACTTCAGCAACACCAAAGAAAAATAACCATAGAAGGCGTTGATGGAGAACTCTCTTAGACTTTTGCTAATGTGTTCTTCAGTAAAATTTGTCATATCAATGTTTAGAAGCACCTGAATACTCTCTTTTCCGTACTTTGGTTAATAGTGTTGCGTCAGCGAGTCACATGACTACTGTGACGCCACGTTTCTAGAACTATGCTGTACTTTGGCGAATGCTCTAGTATTTACTAGATATAGGGTAGTCGGGTATATAAAAGAGGGTGACAACGTGACGCGAAAATGTAATGTGTGTGTAGACAGTGAGTAATTGATCTGCAGTCAGAAGTATTATTGAGCACGTTCGTTGTTATAGCGTTTGTTTAGCGCGATTGTTGAAGTTGAGTGTATCGGTAAAGTTATATTCGGAAAGAATAAACCAGTTTTTATTAAGAAAGAACTTGTGTCGCTTAAGTTTCGTCGCAACAAGTTACGGAAAATCAATTAACAAACGGAGACGTAACAATAGCATGACCAAGTATTGTGATATGAATGAAATTTGACCCGTTTCAAATAAGCATATAGTGGTTGATTCTTTCAGTTATATTGTTTTCAAGAATTAGTTAAATAACTGCTATAATCCAATTTATTTCTTTACATTTATAATTGAACTGAGTTTTCCGTCTCTTGTGTTCAGGGATAAGCGTGGCACGGTGGTTATCGTGCTGTTAGAGAGGAAAGAAATCGCGGTACGACCTTTAGGGCTTTTGATGCATTATATGAAAGACAGTCAAACAATACTATTCGGTCTGAAAATAGTAGCCCAAGAGTTGGCGATGAGTGGTGTTGGCTAGTTGCCTTCTACCTATCCTATCATTTGAAAATTAAGTACGGTTAGTGCATATAACTCGCGTAGCTTTGCGTGAAATTCAACAAACAAATAAACTTGTGTTTGTGAGCAGTTGAATAGATCATTATGAAACTTGTAATTTGTATACAGTCTCTTTTCTCAGTTTATTCAGGTCCAGATTCAGTTTAACTTTGTAATACATTTTCTGCTGAACGTTTAATTAGAGGGCACTTAAGGAAAGCAGTGTACCAAGGAAGAACACATTGTCACACGAAACGAGAGATGTCATGCTTTATTTGAATGACTTAAAGCTGTTTATTTGCGTCACGTTGTGTCTAAACAGAACGAGTCCGCAGAAAACGTAATACTTTTTTTTTTCACGGAACAAATCGTCAAAGGATGCTCAGTATTAAACAAAGATATTGTTTTGATAGACTTTTCGTTCAATAATTGGATTATGTGGTAAAGGTGCTTCAACTTCTAGAAAGTGATGTTTCTTATTCAATGTATCCGCCACAAAAAAGCGCCGATCAGGGTCGTGCTATTATTCCGCTGATCGAGAGTAGTTTCGTGAAATACCCACTGCCATAAACACGTGCACTGTCCACGCTGTTTACTATAATATAATGCTTGTGATTTTATATTTAATGTAGTCTTAAAGTTAAAATGTGTGAGAGAAAAGGTTTTCTAGTTAGATCATCTTTCTTAGGAACCCACGTAACTGCGCTGACTTTTCATGAGAATGTACTTCTGGTTGGTAAGTTCTAGAATATATAATTAGTTTTTAATTTTATATACTATAGCCCAGAATTAAGTTAAGAAAATTATAAATTATGAAATTGGCTTCAGTTTTTCAAGTTTTATAAATTACAGGTAAATTATTATAACTCAGGAGTCAGAATCATCAACGTAAATATTGCTGGGTATTTCTATCTTTGTTTTTCTCCACTTTGTACAGATATTATGAAACTTGAAAGCATACAGAATTGGAGCATACCATAACTTTAAATACGCTTTAAAACAATAATGTTTCTAGGATAGGAAATCATCCTATCACACATATTGAGTTTGTTTGTTGAAGGAAAAGTTAATGTTTGCTTTGAGGAAACATGCAGATAGGTCGAGGGAGTCAATATTATAGAAGAAAAAAAGAAAAGAAAAGAATTGCTTTTGAGATGATAAAGTAGTAAAATCCTAGGTTTACTAAGATATACAACGGATGAAAAAAGGTCTAGGGTCAAGAATTTGAAGAACTCGGTTCTGAGTCACACAAAAGTAGCTATTTTAAACAGATATAACTGGTTGTTGATGAGGATGGGGAAGGAAAGGATCCTGAGGTGTTTGTATTAAAGGATTCTGTAAATAAGCTTACAGAAAGATTTGTTTCTAGTTCTTCAGTGATTTAGAGAAAACAATTTTAAGTCTTTTTTAGAGTTTAAACATTTCAAACCATGAATAATTTTGGTAGCTTATCTCTAAGCTTTTTCAAGAAAACTGATACATTTTTTCTATAGTAAAAGGACCAAAACTGAAAACACCATGATTTTGTGCATTTTGATGATAACCTCCCTACCTCAGAATTAAAAGTTTTGTAATATATCTTGTAACCCAGTTTTTCTTTTTACCAGTTCCAAACAATCAGCTAAAGGCTTGAGATGTTTGCCAGACATCACACCCAAAACCTTTCTCACTCTCCACAACATTTATATTTCTCACATGGTAAAAATATATTTCTATATCACAAATACACCACTTTACAGTTATCATTATTGAAACTCATTTATCATATGTTAATTGACTTGACAAGACTATTTAAGTCCTTCTAAATCAAGGATATGTTGTATAACACAGAATAAACAGGTAAACTTAATAGACCTATTGGACATGTTAAATTAAAGGAAGATTTGTTTACCCATTATGGGTTTCATTTAAGCAACTTCTAAAGTAATGCATTGGAAACTAAATTATTTTATCAGGGGCTGTTTCAATTACACTTAATGGTAAAGAAAATGTTTTGATCACAAGGAATCATGTCATGATATTTGAAAATGAGATTAATAAATTGATTAGTAGTACTGTTTGGGAAAATGAAAATAAGTGTAGTTTTTTACACTAATAGTAGAAATGAATGTAAGTTGCTTGAAATAAAAGCTATGACATTAGTTAGAGTATTAGATGCCATCCATGTTACTGAAGTTAAGTGAAGATTATTAAGATGTTGTTTTAGGTTTGAAAGTCTTTTACTGAGACTGTGTCAAATATCTTAGCTGATAGAACTGTGCAGGTCCAATCTACAATTTTCAAGTTCAGGGCTGAAAGTCCTAAACAAATCTATGTGTCTAAAATTAAAAGTGAATGTTTAATAATATAAAACTTTTAAAATAAAAATTATTATCTGTTAAAATGTATTGTTACTAATGGCAAAAAAAGTTTTTAGGTGCCATACTCAGTCAGTAGGTCTAGTTATCCCACCCCTAATTTTGATTTATTTGTGATAAATAAAATTAAGTCTAATTAAATATTCTTAATATTTTTTATATACACTGCTAGTTACCAACTCCTCTTACAAAGAATATACCTAAGTATATGAAAACTTTGGCTCGCTGAAATTGGGCCAGGTCAGTAATTTAAATCTCCCACCATCTATGATATAAAAAAAGGAGAGAGGTAATTGTGTTTGTAAAACTGAGCTCAAACCTTATGAGTGAAGTATATTGGAAAGAGCTTGGTTAATGTTCCTAAAAAATAGAGAGGAAAAGATGTTTGTTTGCATTTTCTATCAGCTGCCTTGCCAGAATTATGACATTTATGGGAAAATATAAACTGACTAGTTATAGTGCCAGTAGAAAAAGACTTCTTATTGTGGGAGATTTTTCATTTTAGGGAAATTCATTAGGATAGGCTATCTTCATTGTATGAGGATGAAGACTTTTGGAGGTTGTTGAGGATTTTCCCCCCTCACCTTGCATATGAAAGATCCTACTAGAGAACATGCTATCTTAGATTTTTTTCTTTGTAATAAATAGGAAGCAGTTAGATAGTTAATAGTGTGAGATAACTAGTAGTTATAGCTATTAGGATGATTTTTGGGATAGAAAAGTTATCTTAGAGATAGGTTAAGATCTCTTAATTTTTTTTAGTAAAGAAGGTTGAAGGCTTCCAATTTCTTTGTTCTATATTCTGAAGATAATAGGAACAAAAAGATACAAGTTTCAGATTTGAAAAAGACAGTCTTAGGCTCTAGTTAAGCAGTTTTATTTTTCTAAGAGAGTGATCTTGGAATGAGTTGCCATCAGCAGTAATGAAGACCAGCATTTTACAGGAATTTAAGAGGAAAGTCATTGATTTCCTTAAAAATAAAGTGTAGGCTTTAATTGTTTTACTTTTCTAAAGGGTATTTGTACAAAGACAGCCTTGAAGGACCAGATGATCAGCATTCGCTTTGTCTGTATGACTGCTTTGAAGGATACTATACTGAACCGCAAAAAAAAAAAAGTCGCACATTTCGAAAC